GCCAATAGAGGGTGTGGCCATGTTGTTGGGCTATGATATTGCGGGAGGGTTAATGCTCCCTCGTCTGGAGGTTTTAGACAACCCCCTAAATCAGAAAACCTCTGATTTTTCCACGCACCCTGGGCTGTATCCAGCCTGTGCAATTACTCGAGCACAAGCTCGTAAAGATAATGATGTTGTTCTCTCTGATTCGGTGTTGATGTCCTCATTTTCCGAGGAGAATGATGTACAAACTAAAAGAAACAATGTTCTGTCACCGCCAGACTCAGTGAAACCTGAGGAGCCCGATCCATTTCTCTTCGCTGCCCTTGACCAAAGACCAGCTGTCAGCAGCTCAATTAGCTGATAAAACGCTGCAGAGCTGTTTCAAACATACGGTAAGTGCTGAGCAAGTCAATAAAGAGCAACAAGCCTATTTTGTAGGACATGATGTTCTAATGCGTCAGTGGTCTCCACCAGGTGCAGAAGGTGCAGAATGGAGTAATGTTAAGCAGATTGTCGTGCCCGCTGTGTACCGGCAGAAAATCCAGGCTCTTGCCCATGAAAGCCAGTGGTCAGGACACTTGGGCATCACAAAAACATACCAGCTACTATTAAAGCATTTCTTTTGGCCTGGTATGAAGCGTGATGTTTCTAAATTTTGCCGCAGTTGCCATGTATGTCAGATTGCAGGTAAACCTAATCAAGTCATACCCCCAGCTCCGTTGTGTCCCATTCCTGTAGTGGAAGATCAGCCATTTGACCATGTCATAGTAGATTGTGTGGGTCCACTACCTAGAACAAAATCAGGAAAGCAATACCTTCTCACGATCATGTGTGCAGCTACCTGTTTCCCCGAGGCTGTCCCGTTACATAAGGTTACAGCAAAATCAGTTGTTAAGGCATTGACAACATTCTTTTCAGTGTTTGGCCTGCCAAAGGTCATACAGACTGACCAGGGCTCAAACTTTCAATCTAAGTTATTCAAACAAGTGGCTAGCACTCTAGGTGTCAAACATGTTGTGTCCTCTGCTTATCATCCTGAATCGCAAGGTGCATAGAGCGGTGGCATCAGACCTTAAAGGCGATGCTGCGCAAATACTGCTTACAGTCTGAAAAGAGCTGGGATGAGGGAGTTCCATTTGTGTTATTTGCTGCCCGTGACGCTGTTTAGGAGTCACTTGGTTTTAGTCCTTCTGAGCTGGTATTTGGCCATAGGCCACGCGGACCCCTCAAAGCTCTGAAAGAGTCATTTTTGAGCCCACACAGGGTTTCCAAGGTAAATGTAAGGAGGTATGTAAAACACTTCCGTGAGCGTTTGAACCAAGCCAACGCTCTGGCTAAACAGCACCTTGCTGTTTCACAGGGGGAAATGAAACGGCATTATGATAAGGCTTCTGTTAAAAGAACCTTTCAGGTGGGTGACCAGGTTCTTCTGCTCTTGCCTGTTCTGGGTTCAGCCTTGTCTGCTAGGTATAGCGGCCCTTTGAAGTCTGTGAAAAGAGAGGGGAGACTGATTATGTAATTTGCACTCCCGACCGCAGGTGCAAAACACGCGTCTGCCACATAAACATGTTGAAATTATACCATCCTCGATCAACACCAGGGCCGGCTATCGCCTGTGCTCCTGTTGTAGCCTCAAGCCACCTAGAGGAAGGAGGGGTGGACGAGGTTGATGGTTTAAAACTAAGTTATCCCACCTGTTCTAGACCCCGTCTGTCTAACTCAGAAATGCTGAAAGCATTAGCTTGCTCGAACATCTGTCTTGATTAATGAATACACCTGTTTATTCAGGGATGTGCCAACTCGCACTACAGTGCTAGAGCATGATATTGATGTCCAGGGAGCTAAACCTATTAAGCAGCATCCTTATCGAGCCAGCCCCCATAAGCGCTTGCTCATGAAACAGGAGGCTGACTATCTGCTGCAACATGGCTTAGCTAAGCTTTGACTGCAACATGGCTTAGCTAAGCCATGTTGCAGTCAAAGCCCCTGGAGCTCACCTTGTATAGTGGAGTCTAAGCCAGATGGCTCGCCCCGTTTTATTACACACTTATGGAAGGTGAATTCTCTGACTGTGGCTGACTCACATCCTCTCCAAAGAATTGAGGATTGTGTGGACAGTATTGGGACTGCTCAGTATGGCACTAAATTAGATCTTCTTAAAGGTTACTGGCAGGTCCCTTTAACTGAGCGTGCCTCTAACATCTCTGCCTTTGTAACACCTGATGATTTTCTACAGTACATAGTCATGGCATTCGGCATGTGTAATGCTCCTGCCACCTTCCAGAGGCTGGTAAATAAAGTCCTCTGTGGCCTGTCCAACTGCAGTGCCTACCTAGATGATCTAGTAATTTATACTGAAACATGGAAAGAGCATTTGGAAACTCTACGCCAGGTATTTCACCGTTTGGCTCAAGCTACTCTAACTCTCAACTTAGCTAAGTGTGAGTTTGCCAAAGCTACAGTGACGTACTTGGGCAGGGAGGTGGGACGTGGACAGGTCCGGCCCATTGATGCAAAAGTGGCAGTGATTAAAGAGTTCCCCACACCTAGCACCAGACGTGAGTTGTGTAGGTTTCTAGGGATGGTGGGCTACTACAGAAACTTTTGTAAAAATTTCTTCTCTGTAGTCAAGCAACTGACTGACCTACTCAGCCTAAAGGTTCAGTTTCTATGGTCAAGTGAGTGTCAAGATGCTTTTGAGAGTGCAAAAGCCCTCTTCTGCCACACTCCTGTGTTGGCTGCACTTGATTTGACGCGACCATTCAAACTTGAGGTTGATGCCAGTGCTGTCGGGGCTGGGGCAGTGCTGTTGCAAGAAGACTTGCAGGGTTTGGACCACTCCGTTTGTTACTTTTCCCGCAAGTTTAATAAAAATTAGTTAAACTACTCCACCATTGAAAAGGAGACCCTGGCTTTGTTGTTGGCTCTTCAGCACTTTCATGTATACCTGGGGTCCAGCATGTTACCTCTTGTTGTGTACACTGACCACAACCCACTTGTGTTCCTTGCTCGCATGTTTAATCATAAGCAGTGCCTCATGCGCTGGGCTGTGTTGCTGCAGGAATACAACTTAAGTATTCACCACAAAAAGGGGTCTGAAAATGTTTTGGCTGATGGTCTGTTCTGGTTGTAAACATGTTTTGTGGTGTTTGTTCTTTGTTTTTGTTACAGTTCCTAATATCTCCTTTTGCCCAACATAGTTGGTAATTTAAGGGGAGGGGTGTTACGACCCCTGGCCTCATGTGGCCCCGCCTTCCTCTATCGAAATCAAAGCGTTCCAGGACTCACGGGTGATTGGCTGGCCAGGGACCTATGTAGTTGTGTTTTAATTTTTCAGAAAATTTAGTGAAAAACTTCAGGCCAGTATATATTTTCTGAAGTGGCGGACTAAATGAAAGATGTTTAAACTGCATGGAATTGGCAGATTCAGCAGCCAGAATAAGATCTGCTATTACACTGTACTTCCTTTTACCTTGATGCTTCATCCTGTGAGGATGTGTCTCGCTCCATCTGCCCCATCAAACTGTTCTGCTCTAGTGCTCTTGTATGAAAGCCAGTGTGTCTTTGTGACTGTGTGCATATGTGCGTCTGTGCATATACTTTAAGTAAACTTGCCTTTGTTAGACAAACAGAGCGCATTTGTTTCGTTAACATCATGTGTCATGCTGCAGCGCATCGGCCCAGACATTATGGAATGGAGAAAAAAAACAAAGAAGAAAGAAGCTGAGTTTAAAGCACTTTAATTCAGTTTGTGTTATTGTTGTCCCATCTAGTTTTCAGACCGTTTCCAGTGTGTGTGGTGAGTAAAATGACCTGTGCAGCGACCTTTAGGCCTGCCTGGGCTGTGAAAATCAACAAGTACTCTCATGATCTCATCCCAAAAACCAGTTGGTACTAGTTCAAACCACAGGTCTACTGCCATACTAAAGACAGAGAGAGAGGGAGAAGAAGAAGGGTTGAGGGGAAGAGAAGTAGTGCAACTATAGGGAAAAACATGAGAAGAAGAAGACAGAAGAAGAAAGATGGAAAATCACTCCCAGGCCAGCTAAAATGATAGTATGGACATTATTAACCCTCTGAAGTCTAGATTGTACTTTCTCAAGTTTTGGCAACCAGGGAACATAGGAACAAATGATGTAATGATCATTCTAACTGATAAACATCCAAAACTATTCACATAAAAAGTCAGTTTGGCCTTTGTCCATAATTTGGGTGGTAGTATTAGCACTTACAATGACTCAGCTTAGGATGATGGCTTTTTCTTTCCAAGGCATTCAAGCCATATTAATGAGTAGTCTTGTTTTGTGGATCAGATGTTCTCTTGGAGGTCCATTTTCGGTGTGCTTTTCCTTCATGATTGCTTTTCTCTCTGCCAGTCATTGACAGCTACATCTCCCCTTTATTAGCCTAACAATACCTCTGTGGCTAGTGACAAAGGAAGCAGAAGATTACTTCTCTAGCTTTCCAGCGTCACTAGTATTTAATTTGACATATATGTTAATACCCAAATTTATAGCAGTGCTGGAGGTTACATTCTGATTATCTATATTGTGCAAACTGGGCAGATATAGTTCTGTATTACCTAAATGTTACTTAGCGGCATCTTCAGGTTAAGAGAGGTACAGGTTCAACTGATGACCATGCAGCAGACATTCTGAGCCAATAAATGTTCAGATCTTGTTAATGGGAGTCAGCTGTAGCCAGGAACTTTTTGGTGTTATCACATTGCATCTTATCATGAGTTTCTCCAGCAAGTGCATTCAAAGTTTCTTTGTAAAAGCCTGCATGTCAAACTTAACATCTTCTTTACATAAATATAATATGTCTCTGCACTTTCAGCGATTCAACTAAGGGTCATTATCTTCTGGACCTTTGTGCCATATATCATCAATCATATTGTCGTTAAGAGTCATTTCCACCAATCTCCTAAGATGTTTTTTTTCCTCTTCTCAATTCCCCTTCTCATCATCTTCCTCTTCTTTTCCTCACTTTCCACTCCTCCTTCATATTTGCAGTTTGACGTCAACCAGCTGATGACCTCAGGGAATGTAAGCAATAGACACAGTCCAATCCAGAAGCCCACAGAGTCTCCTATTAGCATTGCCAGCAACAGTAGCATGGGCCGGGTCAGTGGCATGGGTTTGGAGCAGTCACCAGTGGACCGCACCAAAGGCTTCTTCCCTGATGAATCGGAGCCCCTGCTTCGCTGCGACTCTACCTCCAGCAAAGACTCCGCCCTGAGTAGGAATGGCTCCTTCATTACCAAAGGTGAGACATGACCACAAACAGATCTATTCCAATTAAGTTCCAAGGATGGTTCAATTCATTTGGTGCTTTTGCGGTGCTTGGTGGTCTAGGAACGCCTTTGCAGTTCCCAGCTTCCCTTGGTTAGTGGCACTTCTCGGTGCATTTGCTGGTGCATCCTCCAGAAGTATCCACTTGCACTTCATATTCAACTAAACTAGAAGGACAGATGGTCCCACATGACCTGCCAGTGCTTTGAAATGTGACAGTGTGTAATCACAAAGAGGAAAACCACCCACAGACCACAACAGGCTCACCAAAACAATCTTGGGTCGTATTTTGAAATCTTAGAAACCTGAAATGAAGATAAAGAAGAAATTTCTGGTCTGATGTGATGGACCAAGTTGACAAACAGGAGGAGTCCCAGGAATTATTAGAAAAATATGGTTTTTATTTATTTAACCCCCAAAAATCATATTTACAAAAGTAATAAATGTTCAGCTCATAAAAGAGGTCAAATAAACAAAACTCAACTCAGGCAAAAACTGCAAACTTAACAAACCAAATGACTGCCCAAACAAACATAATTGACCTCGACATGAAATGACATACATATAATGGCTGATCAGACCACTATGACACACGAGGGGTAACTAAATAAAATACAATTGTAAACAACAAAGGGATGGCAGGTAAGAAGCAAATAAAGAAACAAACTTTCCTACTCATCAAAAAAAGTACCATGTCGACCAATCAAAAGATGAATGATATGGCAACATGGCATTTAGTTGTTTAGGGAGGGGGAAGTTTTAGGAGTGACGGCGGTGTTTTTAGATGTGAGAGATTTGCGACATTTAGCGCAAATCTTGTGTAGTTAGTGTGTAGTGTAGTCAATAGTTTTGTTGTGTGTGTCAGAACAATGAGGCGACTGCTAAATGTTACAGGTGTTACAGGAGTGATACATCTCCTGTTGTCAGGCCTACAGTCCACATAGTGGACAGAAATTATTATTATTTGATGCAGAACACCTGATTGTTCTGTAAATAGTTTGAAATGCTTATTTTAAAAAACGCTTGGCTGCATTATTCGGTAAATAGCTGCAAAAAACTTTGTTTGCATAACTCAGTCACTTTTTTGAAGAAGTAACTATATAATTAATTGCCCAACATTGGTCATCATATACTGTATTTTGCAGACAGAGACTTACAGGACTCTCTCCCAGACCACAGACTCATACTCATAATAAGTCAGAGCTTTATTTAAAAAAGAAAAAAGAAAGGCAGTTGTTTCCAAAATTGGAGTTCAAGTTATTTTTACTTCCAATAGTGTTAACATACTAAACAGGTCATGAACAAGATTGTTTTTTAATTTTCATTTTAAGTGGGCTAAATCAGTTAATTAAAAGTAGTCTAACATAAATGTAAATGCTGTAATTTGATTATTTTAATAAACCATGTAACTTGGATGGATTCGATGCTGGCGTGACCACAGTGCACACGTCTGCTGTTGCTCACAGTGGTCCAAGGGATCGCTCAGGGAGTTTGTGTGTTCGCTCAGACACATGAAAAATTAGAGGGAACATTGCTTAGGATAATCTTTGTCTCTTTTTTGTCTTTCAGAGAAGAAAGACACAGTGCTCCGACAGGTGCGTCTGGACCCATGTGACCTGCAGCCCATCTTTGACGACATGCTGCACATCCTGAACCCGGAGGAGTTGCATATCATCGAACAGATCCCAGCCGCTGAGGACAAACTGGACAGGCTCTTTGAGATTGCAGGAGTGAAGAGTCAGGAGGCCAGCCAGAAGCTGCTGGACTCTGTGTACAGCCATCTCCCTGACCTCTTGTAGCAGAGGAAAGATCAGGAAACAGCACAGACTGGAGTTGGCACAAGAATAAAAAGAAGTACGAGGGATGAATACAATGTTGTGTTCCAGTTAAGTCTTGGGTGGCATTTCATCTAAAAAGCTGTCATCACGCCACTTCATTTGAACATGGTCTGTGTCTGCTACCTCCAGTGACTCTTTAAAATATTTACTTTATTCCTTTTCTTGTTCTTCTAATACACACAAGTACTCCTTTAAAACAACCCAGCCTATACCACGATGAACTAATTTAGAGGAATACTGGGTTGAAAAGTAGCGTAGACGTAAATGGACTCCATAGAAAATCACACGTAGCACTTTCTTTATCTGAAATGGTCTTCATGCCTTCATGTCTAAAGAAATTTGTAGTTTGTGCCTGTTGTTCAGGCTTCTCATGCCTTTAACATGGATCAAGTGTTACACGCTACATTTAACAATGAACATGGTAAAGGTAAATAAGCTATAACTTCAAATGATGCTGGTATTATTCTTTAATTTTAGGGTTCTTGTAAAGAATATTTTTGCCCAGGTGTAGGTTTAACTGTAAGTCATGTGCCTGAACTTTCCAAAGCTTTGTTCCTCCCTCCCTCTTACTGTAACCACCAGCAGGGAACAGCATTACTTAGATGGTTGTCCTGCTTTTCGGCAACCAAAACCATAGCTCAAAAAATGACCTTCGAAACTTTGTCTAATGTTCTGATATATGGTTTTTGAGAAAAAAAAAAGCTGAACTAAACGGGAAGCTTAACTGCGTTGACCGGCAGCAGTCTGCTTCTCTGGAACTGAAACCATGTCTGAAAAGGTTCAGCCACCTTTGAATTCATGGGGAGGAGAAATACTTGGACTAGTACACTCATGCAGACCTCAACTAGCTACCCCTAGTTGCCTCAACAAATGTAGTGTTGATAAAGTGTTCTTGATACATTCTGGAGCTTCATGTCAGTGTGGTTTTCAATCAGACAGAGTTGCCTAAGTGTTTCACTGCTAGAGTAAAAATGATAAAATACAACAGATTTTTTTCCTTTTTTATGCGGTAGTATTTTGCTACCTGTACCATTTAGTTGATGAGAAAATGTCATAATGATGCACTAATCCTATTTTCCATTAAGAGAGAGATGTTGTACTTTGTCTTTAATGTTTTATAACTAACATTTGATTTTATTGGTTATTATATTTCTGTCACAATGTTTCCATTTTTCTTTCATCAGCATTCAGACAGATGTGCTCACCAGGATGTAACATATACATACTCCATAATCTACTTGAAGTCTGTCTACTTGGCTCTTTTACATGATGTAACAGGAAAAAAAATGCAATTTCTGTTCCCTCAACGTTCCACTCAACAAAACACATCAACATTTGGTGCACGCCTGATCTCTCACTGGCTGGCATTACAAGGGCAGAGATATGCGAATCCAGGGTAAAGATGGAAAATACTGACTGAATGAAAAAGAGTTAAGGTTGTGTTCCAGGACTCTGTGAGCTTTCTCAACATCTGAACATCCACCAGATCACTGGCTTGGTTTCATTTTATTCACATGCTAAATTGACATATTTGCAGAAACTACTGGATTTTATTTTAGAAATTAATTTGAATACATTTTTAAAAGCTTTGCCATACATGTGCTGCAAGTAGGTACTGTAAAACATGGTAAATGGTGCATGTTAATCAAACCCAAATCCTAGTCGTGCCCATTGCCCTTATCCTAGATGACTGTACGATGTGAGCTTTTTATTTTCTGATGCACATGCAGATTGAGTGGCTGATCATCAAATTTCACACATGTAACCAGTAAGTTTATTACTACATAACCGCTTAAAATCCACAAATTAAAGCTAAAAGATTTGTCATAAATTTACGTGTAATTGTGTCCATTTAAATGACTAGGTGTTGTGTAAATTTCAGTGTTTACATTATATTGCAGGACTGCTGCTTAAAGTGGAACATTATCAGTATGAGTAAAGACGCTGGATTTCTTTAGGTCTTTAAGTCTGGACTAAAAGACTTAAAGAAGTCCAGACGCTTTTCTTTGCAAGCTCTTTGCAAGCTCCTTTGATCAGTATGAGTACAACATTATAAGTTATGACGGCTTAAACTGTTCTGGGTAAAGGTTGTTTCACTAGTTTAGAAAAAGGGGTTTTAAAAATGGACAAGCATAAGGTCTTGATTGAGTTTGATTGAGACTTGATTAAGACTAGCGCCCAACTAGCGTCTCATAAACCGCAACTCTTGTTGGGTGTTACTGGTGTGCATATATTAAGAATTTATTGTAAACTTACTTTGCTTTGCTACATACTTTCTTCTAACGTAGTTGGCAAACTGAAAGCGAAAATGAAAAACTATACTGGCGAGAACGCCATGGAAATTAGTATAGTAGGAATCGCCTCGTCTGGGCGAAATAAAGCGTTTTGGTACAACTTCATAAAGAGCAGTAAGTATTGAAAGAAGACTCAGACAAGCATGTTAATTCAACATCACCATGTTGTGCAAACAGGTTTTGCAGATGTTGGATCTAAGTTATTCACATAATGAAAACCTATACTTTGTTTCGGGCGA